GGGAGGGTGTGACTAGTGACAGAGGGAGGGAGGGAGGGAAGTGGTGACTAGTTGACAGCGTTAGGGAGGGAAGGGGTGACTAGTGACAGAGTGAGGAAGGGGGTGACTAGTGACAGAGGGAGGGGTGACTAGGGACAGAGGGAGGGAGGTGGTGACTAGTGATTAGTGACAGTCACCACCTCCCTCACTCTATCACTAGTCACCACCTCCCTCACTGTGTCACCCCCTCCCTCTGTCACTGGTCACCCACTCCCTCCCTCACTCTGTCACTAGTCACCCCTTCCTTCCCTCTGTCACTAGTCACCCCTTCCCTCACTCTGTCACCTGTCACCCCCTCACTCTGTCACCCCCTCACTCTGTCACTAGTCACCCCTCCCTCACTCTGTCACTAATCACCCCCTCTGTCCTTAGTGACAGAGTGAGAGAGGGGGTGACTAGTGACAGAGTGAGGAAGGGGTGGCATAGTGAGGGAGGGGGTGACTAGTGACATAGTGATAGAGGGGGTGACTAGTGACATAGTGAGAGAGGGGGTGACTAGTGACATAGTGAGAGAGGGGGTAACTAGTGACAGAGTGAGGGACGGGGTAACTAGTGACAGAGTGAGGGACGGGGTGACACAGTGACAGAGTAAGGGAGGGAGTGACTAGTGACAGAAAGAGGGATGGGGTGACTAGTGACAGTCACCCCCTCTCTCACTCTGTCACTAGTCACCCCTCTCTCACTCTGTCACCAGTCATCCCTTCCTTCCCTCACTCTGCCACTAGTCATCCCTTCCCTCACTCTGTCACCAGTCACCCCTTCCTTCCTTCACAATGACAGAGTTAGGGAGGGAGTGACTAGTGACAGAGAGAGGGATGGGGTGACTAGTGACAGAGAGAGGGATGGGGTGACTAGTGACAGAGAGAAGGATGGGGTGACTAGTGACAGAGTGAGGAAGGGGTGACTAGGGAGAGAGGGGGTGATTAGTGACAGAGTGAGGGAGGGGGTGACTAGTGACAGAGGGAGGGGGTAACACAGTGACAGAGTAAGGGGGTGACTAGTGACAGAGTGAGGGAGTGGGTGACACAGTGACAGAGTTAGGGAGGGAGTAACTAGTGACACAGAGAGGGATGGGGTGACTGGTGACAGTCACCCCCCCCCCTCACTCTGTCACCAGTCATCCCCTCACTCTGTCACTAGTCACCCCTTCCCTCCCTCACTCTGCCACTAGTCTCCCATTCCCTCCCTCTGTCACTAGTCTCCCATTCCCTCCCTCTGTCACTAGTCTCCCCCTCTCCTTCCCTCTGTCACTAGTCTCCCCCTCTCCTTCCCTCTGTCACTAGTCACCCACTCCCTCACTCTGTCACCAGTCACCCCCACTCACTGTGTCTCCCCATCACTCTGCCACCACTCAACCCCTCCCTCACTCTGCCACCAGGTACCCCCTCACTCTGCCACCTGTCACAACCTCCCACACTCTTCCACCTGTCACCTTCTCCCTCACACACCCTGTCACCTGTCACATATGCATTCACACAGACACTATATACAAAAAAGCACATGTAGTCATCCAGACATGCACAAGTGCATTCACACAGACTCAAATACAAACATGCATTGATACACGGGTCTTCACAATAAACACATCCAAAGGAATGCCGTATTATGAATTATATTTAACATTTATTAAAATGCACATATATTTGGCCTTCAAAGGGCCTGGGATCTAATTTTGCCCGGGGGCCCCAAAGGCTCTCAGTCCGCCCCTGGTATAAACAGAGTGAGCCCTGCTTCTATCTATGGATTTATATAGTGTATAAACAGAGCGAGCCCTGCTTCTATCTATCTATGGATTTATATAGTGTATAAACAGAGCGAGCCCTGCTTCTATCTATCTATGGATTTATATAGTGTATAAACAGGGCGAGCCCTGCTTCTATCTATCTATGGATTTATATAGTGTATAAACAGAGCGAGCCCTACTTCTATCTATCTATGGATTTATATAGTGTATAAACAGAGCGAGCCCTGCTTCTATCTATCTATGGATTTATATAGTGTATAAACAGAGCGAGCCCTGCTTCTATCCATCTATGGATTTACATAGTGTATAAACAGAGCGAGCCCTGCTTCTATCTATCTATGGATTTATATAGTGTATAAACAGAGGGAGCCCTGCTTCTATCTATCTATGGATTTATATAGTGTATAAACAGAGCGATCCCTGCTTCTATCTATCTATAGTTTATGAATTGTATAAACAGAGCGAGCCTACTTCAATCTATGGTTATATAGTTAATATAAACAGGCGAGAGCCCTGCTTCTATCTATCTATGGATTTATATAGTGTATAAACAGAGGTGAACCTGCTTCTATCTATCTGTAGTTTGTATAGTGTATAAACAGAAGCTGACCCCTGCTTCTATCTATCTATGGTTATATAGTGTATAAACAAATGACCCTGCTTCTATCTATGGATTTATATAGTGTATAAACAGAAGCTGACCCTGCTTTAAATCTATGGATTTATATAGTGTATAAACAAGCGAGCCCTGCTTCTATCTATCTATGGATTTATATAGTGTATAAACAGAGTGAACCCTGCTTTTCCTATCATCTATAGTTTATATAGTGTATAAACAGAGCGAGCCCTGCTTCTATCTATCTATAGTTTATATAGTGTATAAACAGGCGAGCCCACTGCTTCTATCTATCTATGGATTTATATAGTGTATAAACAGAGCGAGCCCTGCTTCTATCTATCTATGGATTTATATAGTGTATAAACAGAGCAAGCCCAGCTTCTATCTATCTATGGATTTATATAGTGTATAAACAGGGCGAGCCCTGCTTCTATCTATCTATGGATTTATATAGTGTATAAACAGAGCGAGTCCTGCTTCTATCTATCTATGGATTTATATAGTGTATAAACAGAGCGAGCCCTGCTTCTATCTATCTATGGATTTATATAGTGTATAAACAGAGTGAGCCCTGCTTCTATCTACCTATG